ACATCGTATCGTTCTTAGGTACCGAAAGGGCATTAGGGATCTCGATTCGGGATCAATAACGTAACCAAGTCCCCGTACTCAGAATCTCTGGTTCGTAGAATCGTGGTATTTCTCCCGTATCTCGATTAGGTTTCTAGTCTACCTACCAATAATGACTAGTGGCGACTCTAAAATCACAAACCTAGACTAAATAAGAAATTACCTTCCACTGTCACGTGAGGTATGGTCTGGGAGAGACCCTTACACGAAAATACCTTCTTAGCGCGCAAATCCCGAAAGCCCCAAAAATCGCGGCGCGACAAAGTCTTCTACGTCAAGAGCTGTATACCATGCTAAGACCGCTCCTTTGAGACTATCTTGAAAAGTGCTAAAGAGAAGAGGTGTGTTATCTGAATACCTCGCCATCTTACGAAGATAATACTTCAAATGGCTTTTGGGACAGCCAATTCTATCGTACTTGCTTACGAACTCCGGTTCCTTGTAATTCTCCGGAACAACAACCTTTGCATATGACGAGAATTTATCAAATCTTTGCAATTCGTAGCCTTGACTTGTTAAACATTCTTCGATCTTGGTAGCCTTTTAGCTTCTTCCTCATCCTTAGCTTTAGAGAGGGTTTTCTTTGAAGGGCCATCTTCTTCTAAGTTCACCACTTCGGGTGTTGTTTTTGGTGGGTTTTCTTGAACAAGCTTTTTATTTTGATTTTGATTAGAAGTCTCTTCAATATTTGGAGCATTAGCATCGGGAGCCATAGGATAAGATCCTCTTGTAGCCATAATAAAGGTATTCATCTCCGCCATCATGGCGGCCATTTGAGTCATTTGATTTTCTACTTCAGCAAGTCGATTACGGGTCTCCTCTTCCGCCATTTTAGTTTGTAAACGAGTTCGAGGTCTTTTCCTTTCTGTTGCTAGAAAACCTTCTCCATAGAAAGACAAGGTGTTAGGATGGTAAAACGAGAATGAAAACCTACATTCTTTCAATTGTATGGTTTCTTATTATTAACAAGGATAAGAACTTTTATACAAGCCTTAACCTTGTATTAAATTCCTTATCAATGTCTTTCTTAACCAATCATACAATACAAAGAATTGTAATCCATGGTGATTTCTTTATGTTTTCAAATCACGTTCTAAACCTTTCCAAACACATTTTGAAAATGGTCATTTGATTATTGCATATAAAATTTGAGATTGTCCTACACAACGATTTTAAACCCTAATGGGAATTCTAACTCATCCAATTATAGGTTTCTTGCTAGCTAAGATAGCTTCCGCCTTTTCATATGTTTCCCATTCCTTGATTCGGGACTCCCATTCCTCGACATCAATCACAACCTCCTCGAGAACGTATGGTCCACTCCAGGCATGTTTGGAACAATATATTATGGAATATATTGCTCCTCGGGATTTGGTGCAATGCTCAACGGTACATATGGTTCCACGTCGATTGGTCGGTTGCTTTTTATCCATTTAATGTATTCTTTGAATGCCATGTAGATCTTCATCTCGCCTTCTAAACATTTTGGCCACTCAATTGCTTGCTCGGGTGAGTTCTCCAAATATTGGATAATCTTACGAATCTTCATTTGTAAACTACTCTTCTCCTTTTCGGGTAAGGTTCCCTTTGAGATTTCAAAATTGAACTCTTCGGGATTCCATGCCAGAGGAACTTGTTGAAGCATCCCGAATTATCTAACAATTCTTAGGGGACAATACGTAGTTGCTCTGCTCAATTCAAGCAATGGCACCATATTTTCCTCTTGGCTTGTAATTCTTGCCTTGTCGATCTTCGGTCAATTGATCCGCCATTGGATTTGATATGGGGTAGGGCTCTAATGAAGTTAGCCCAATCTAAGAAGGAGTGTTTGGATAATTTATTTTGGATAGGATGTACCATTATATTGGGTTTATCGCTGAATTAATCTCATGAATATTCATAAAGCGACACCATGGTCGAATATGTGAAATGAACCATAATGAGAGAAGACCAGTAGAAGCTTAGAATACACAATTCCCATGATTTTGATATTTGTTTAAGGAGATGATGGCTTGTGCAAGGATCATGTTTGAAAAGTCTCATTTGAGACATGATTGTCTTGCGATTACAGCAATTAAGGGATCTAGTCCCGTTCTAGATACGGGAAAGAGAATGAAGCCAAAGAAGGCTAAAATGAATATCCGGACTGAAGTGTTTCCCATTTCCCTAGGAAGTTTTGAAAAATTGGCTATTAGAAATGATAAGGGAAATTTACCCGTGATTCCCTTGATTAGCTTTTCAACTTTGGGAGTTTTCAAATTAAGGAATTTGGCTAGAATGCTCACGGGGTTAAGTCCAACAGGTGGCTCTACGATCCTAGGCTGGAAATTGATTCCAATGGCGGCCTTGTACTCTTCCAAAGTTGGCACCACTTCGTGTTCACTAAGCTGGAATGTGGCGATTGAAACTTACCAAAAATGGGTTTAAGCTTGTATTAAGCTAACTTGATGCTCCATATGTATTAGCTCAAAAAGATACTCGAGCCTTTCTTTGACATAAGCTTGATTGTCTTTGGACATGTCCTTCCACCTAGCAATGAGTTCCTTTTGAGGAATGAAGATTACTTGGATATCTAGCTTTCCCATTGATTCTAAACATGCAAAAAGATTCATTATTATTCACCATGGATTACCAATCAATTTTAATGCTTCCACTTCAATCATATGTCCTTTTAAGGTAAAATAGAGGTAAAATACATTGCATACTTAGAAAGTGATACAAATGTCACCTTAAATCCATTTTTGCTTTAAGAGAGCATACGATTGAAAATGGGGATAAAATCAATGTTTGATGTAACTGCCCATTTTTCATGCTCCATTTAGACCATATAGCCCTAACTTATGATTTATAACTGTTGAATACATCAAAATGAACACTTGATTCACTGAGTTGTGTTTATCGCATTTTGAGCACATACAAAGTGACCCTTCAATTTGAAAAACAATGACCAATTAATTACATTGAATATCCACCATGGACATATACATCCCATCTAAAAATGAAAGAAAGGTCTAATGGAGCATGTCATCCTAATCATTCATTCTAGTATAAAAAGGGCATTTAGATCAACCATTGGTTGTCATTTAGGCATTTTTGTTCAAATTGTGCCAACTAACTTGCATAATTAAAAGAGAAAGGTAAGGAACGAAACTTACCATCACTGAGGCGATTTTTGTAATGCCAACCACATAGACATGCGGATGCAACAAGTGAGGTTTTGACGCCTAAAGGTAGGATAGGCTAAAGGTTTAAGGTCACCACCTTAATGGATAAGGGATTTCATTTCAATAGGAAATCGGCCTAAAGTAATAGAATGTTATTCCATTTTTTTGATCGGTATTGCATTTAAACAATCCCATGAGCAATTGGCCCATAGTTTCGCCTAAATGCATACCTCCTAATAGTAATCCTAAATGTAGCCAGAGTTGGGCCACGGGTGATGTGTGTGAATGGTGTCGTGCTAAGGCCATTAAAAAGCATGCATAGCAATTTATAACCAAACAACACTTCTAAAATAATCATTTCACATTCATTCTCAATACCATCCTGCAAAACAAAGGTCAACAAAGACAACACCCCTTATACCTCTCACCTACAAAATCATTTAACACAATCATTAGTGAAACGTACCTTGGATCTTTGCGCGAGCACAAAACACATGCGTATCGTTCTAAACTAGGCCCAAGTCTACTAGAAAGTCTAGGTCTCTAGTGAAGTCGCCAAGCCTGTTGCACCGCGCTTTCGCATGCTAAAGAGGTACTTTTGTTCGTCACGAATGAGGAAACTGTCCCCGAATGGGCTACTACGGTCCGAAACGAATATTTCACCCAAACGTCTCACAAACATACCATCAGTAGACAAATAATGGTATCTCCCAGACCATACCTCATGAGAGAGTGGGTATTTGTTTTTTAATCTTTTCTATTTAGCCTAAGTTTTAATTTGGAGTCGCCACTAGTCATTATTGGTAGGTTGACTAGAAACATAATCGAGGTATGGAAGAAATACCACGATTCTATGAACGAGAGATTACATGGGTAAGGGGACTTCGTTACACTAATGATCCTCAATCGAGATCTGTAACGCCTTTTTCGGTACATAAAACGATATGATGTGTCTAACGTGTCACGTGAGTTCGCAAGGCCTATCTACTAATTCTAACCATTCTAATCGGAAGAAATCAATCAATCAATGAGTAAATGCGCAATCAATTTCAATCAAACACAACAATCCCTAAAATGTGCTCTAAAATGAAAAATCAATCAAAACACCCAAAGCCTAACGAAGCCCTAATGGCTTATTTATTCAATGAATTGTATTGTTTTATGGTTTTTTAGGGGATGAGACCCCTTTTGGGGGGTTAAACCCCTTTTAACTCCTAAACTGAGGAGCTCCTAAAAAATACCACTTATGCACCTCAAAAAAATTTCAATTTCACTTAAGGTGGGTGGCCACAAGGTTTGTAAGCCATTCTGTAAATTTTTTGATATTTTTGATATTTTTGAGGAAATTTTTATTATAGAAAAGATTAAATTTTCATTTTTTTACATTTTTTTGAAATTTCTAATTTTTTATGATTTTTCTAAATTTTCTATTTTTTATGATTTTTTTAAAAAAAATTTATAATTTTTTTAATTTATTTTTGAATTCTCCCCCTGAAGGATGAACCGGGTCGAATCCAGTTTAGACCGGTCCGACCAAGTCGGACTAGCCGGCACCGGCGCCAACCAGTTATCCGGCGAGCACAGCCCCAAAACGGTGCCGTTTCTGGCATTTTTCTTTTCGACATTTTGCCGAACACCTGGCGGGCGCGGTGCTATCCTTACTCAGGAACCGACTCAAACCAACAAAAATTGATAGGATATTTGACTCTTCATTTCGCAATGTGTGTAAAATGAATAAAAATATATTCAAGAACTACACACCCGCATTATTCTTATCTTATTAGTCAAAGATGAAAAAAAGAAACGCGGAAGAGAAAAGCAAAACGAGCCTTTCTTTTCGTTTCCCTTTCACTTCCTCTCGCCAGCGACGAGCGAGCGCCGTCCCTCCCTCCCGAGTTCCATGCTCGCCCGCGTTCGCCGATGCAATCCCCTTCGTCTCCCCGCTAAATCTCCCGCCCTCTTCTCCATGCCTTCCTTTCTCTCGGTCAATCCCTTAGCCGCCGCCGTCGCCGCCGCGGCGAGGCTCGACTCCGGCGGCGAGCCCGTCACCGCGGCCTCGACCTCCTCCGGCGGTCCCGACGACCCTGTTCGTCGGCTCGTCGGCGGGCTGAGGGGCTCGGGAGCGGAGGGATTCGTTGCTTCTTCCCACTTCGGGGCCGTCGTTTCCAAGCTGAGCCGGCTTCAGGTCGACCGAGTGGTGGGTGCTTTGAACGTCGAGAGCCCCGGTTTGGCGGTTGCCTTCTTCGATGTCTTGAGGAATGAGTACGGGTTTCGGCATTCGAGGTTCTCTTGGTTGCTGGTCTCGCATGTTTTAGCTGGGGAGCGGGAGCTGGGGCGATTGCGGTGGGTTCTCCAGCAAATGCTGGAGGAGGAAGGTAAATTTTGAGTAACCAGGACTTTCTCATGTTATAATAATCTCTGTTTGGGTTCTGCTGAGCTGGGTTGATGCTCTGGAAGTTTTGTTTGGCAAGGTATAGGGGCAAGCGAGTGGCTTTTTTCTGTTCCTTGGCGACGAGGAACCAATTTGAGATTTTGCAGATTTTGGGTGATGTTTTGTTTGTAGTTTAGCTTCCTATGGGGCTTGAACTAGTCGTGGGTCTAGGCTTTTCTCATGTTGCTCCTTTTGATTTTGAATAGGCTCTGGCTCCGCACCTGCTCTTTGCGAGGTTTTATCAAATAGCTTCCGCGATTGGAAATCAAGTGGCGTCGTGTGGGATGTGCTTGCCTTTGCTTATTCGAGAGCCGGGATGGTGCATGATGCCCTCTTTGTCCTTGCAAAGATGAAGGATTTAAGATTGCGAGCTTCTATAACGACATATAATAGTCTACTGCATAACTTGAGGCACACGGATATCATGTGGGATGTATATAATGAGATAAGAGCGAGCGGCATCCCTCACAGTGAATATACTAATTCCATTATATTGGATGGCCTTTGTGGGCAGTCGAGATTTCAAGATGCGGTTTCATTCTTCCAGGAGACTAATAAGACGGAGTCTGGGCCCTCAGTTGTGTCGTTTAATACCCTCATGTCAAGGTTTTGTAAATTGGGTTTTCTGGATGTTGCTCAGTCATTCTTTTGTACGATGCTCAAATTTGGACTGCCACCTGATACATACACTTACAATATCCTCATCCATGGTTTGTGTGTAGCAGGTTCCATGGAAGAGGCAATAGAATTTGCAAATGATATGGAGAAGAGTGGACTGGGTCCTGATGTTGTGACATTCAATAATCTTGCTAAAGGATTTCATCTCCTGGGTCTAATTGGTGGGGCTTGGAAAGTCATTAATAAAATGCTGCTCAAAGGGTTGCATCCTGATCAGGTAACGTACACCATTCTTATATGCGGACATTGCCAGGCAGGCGATATAGATGAAGGCTTAAAGCTTAGGGAGGAGATGCTTTCGCTGAATTTGCCATTGAATAGCATCTCATACACAGTACTGCTCAGCAGCCTGTGTAAAAGTGGTCGAGTTGTTGAAGCATTGAACTTACTATATGAAATGGAAGATACTGGCGTGCAACCAGACATAGTGACATATTCTATCCTCATCCATTGGCTTTGCAAGCAAGGCAAAGTTCAAAAAGCTATTATGGTCTATCAGGACATGATATCAAAGAGGATCTTTCCAAATTCTTTTTCACAAACTTCCATTCTGCTGGGAATGTGTCAAAGGAGGACTATAAAAGAGGCTAGGATGTATTTCGATGCTCTCACAAGAAGCAATTTGACAGATTGTGTTGTTTGGTATAACATTATGATTGATCAGTATGCAAAATGTGGAGAAATTGGAGAAGCTGTGGATCTCTACAAACAGATTGTTACAAAGGGGATCACTCCTAGTACTGTAACTTTTAACTCTCTCATTTTTGGATTCTGCAAACAAAGAAAACTTGACGAGGCTAGGTGGTGTTTGGATGCTATGAAGTTATATGGACTGATACCTAGCGCCATAACTTATACTATTCTTATGAATGCATTTTGCGAAGAACGTAATATGCATAGCATGCTGGCATTGTTTCATGAGATGGAAACAAAAGCTGTAGTCCCAACACATGTCACGTACACAGTGATCATTAAAGGACTTTGCAGGCAATGGAAGCTGCAAGAGGCTGTACAAATCCTCAATGGAATGTATACTAAGGGCTTAAGACCCGATCAAGTCACCTATAATACCATTATCCAGAGCTTCTGCAAAGCAAGAAACCTGGAAAATGCATTTCAGTTGCACACTGAGATGTTAGCGCGTGACCTTGAGCCCACTCCGGTTACTTATAATCTACTTATAAATGGACTTTGTGTGTATGGTGAATTAACAGATGCTGATAGCTTGCTGGTTTCTCTTCAAGACAGAAATGTAAACCTGACAAAGGTTGCTTATACCACCATCATCAAAGCACATTGCGCGAAGGGCGATGTGGAAAGAGCAATTTTTTACTTCGGTCAAATGATGGAGAAGAGATTCGAAATATCAATTAGAGATTATAGTGCTGTAATTAATAGATTATGCAAACGGTCCTTACTTGCTGAAGTTAAAACTTTTTTCCTTATGATGTTATATGATGGCATATCTCCAGATCATCAGATATGTGAAGCAATGCTCGATGCTTTTCGTGAGGGCGGAGACCTTCAATCATATTTCCAACTTCTGGGCGAGATGATTAAACTTGGCTTGCTCCTAGATTAAGCATGGGGATTTAATCATTGACGCCCCTCGTGGGAAGGAAAGCTGTGTCTCTATGTAGAAACTGACATAACAGGTATGAATCTATTAATTGTTAACGTTTGCTTTTTTTTTTTAATCACAGCACTACGACTTCTACGCAGCAATGGATTTTTCTTATGGTTGCTTGACCATCTTTATACCTGCATACTTGACTGAGTACCCTCGAATGAATCTAAGTTCTGCCTGCCTAATATTCACAGTATGTTATTCTCATGATTTTTAGGCATTGTGAATAGTAATTTCTAATGGAGCTGGCTGCCCTCATTGAACTCTTCAACTGCGCTCCCTGGTTATCAAACATAGTTCATCTTATTGGTTAATCTGTGTGGAATATGCTCCATTCCAATGTTTCCGTGGAATATGCATATCAGGTATGAGTTTACATCATGCATAGTTGTACAGTACATTTAAACGCAATTCTGTTTATTCCTGAACACGGGTTTAATTAGTGTTTGTTTGGTTGGGGTATTGTTGAGAATGACTTATTGAGTGCAGGTTTCTAAATGTGTGTTGTAATTCATTTGTTTCGGCCATTTTTGGATGGATTTATACGCATATATTGTGTGATCAAGTCATTCTGGAGCTTAGTGTGCAATTTATTATTTTTAGTTGGGATCGTTCTGTCACAGCATAAGATATTTTATTGGGAAGTACTTGATCTGATATCTTTAACTCTCATTTCTGGGATAAAGAGATTAATATTTCTGAAAAGAAGGCATGAATTTTGTGGGTACTTTTTTTTGTTGAAGAATCCATTGGCTATCCCTATCCCACCAAACTGTTCAATGTCTTTAGAGGGTCGCTATCCATTCCGTGCTTCAACCACTTTAATAGACTGTTCTTTTTCTTATCCATTTCTTTGCTTGTGTTGTGTTTTTGCGCTACACATATAGGGCATTCAGGACTCATTGTCTAAATATGCACTTATCACTTTTGGACTGATTTCTGACTCATATTTACTGAATGTTCCCAGTGTAGCGTTTATAGCTTGGATTAACGGAGTTTTTTGTCACTGATATTGTTCATGTACTCTCTTCAGAATGGTTCTTTTTGCAGAACTCTCTTAAGGATCCGCATAAAATGTTATGAAAATGATTTCATCTATTTTTATTTCCTCTCTTCTGATTCTTGTGTCTGCTCCTGAGGAAACTATGTTACCCAAGTGGGACCCATCAGATGTAACTGTCCAGATGCATTTTAGTAAGGGATGCATCAGATCTAACGGTCTAGATCCATTTTAGTGTGTGTAATGCGCTTGCTGAATACTTCCTCCTCCTAATACATATTATCATCTTATTTATGGACTTTGTGCCTGATGACTTGAGAAATTCTGATAGTTTTCCAGTTTCCAAGACGGAAGTGTGAGCTTGACAAAACTTGCTTGTAGCACTATATTAAAAGTACATCGTGCAAAGGATGATATACAAAGGGCCATTTTCTCTTCTGTGAAATGATAGAGAAGGGATTCTGAAAATCAATGAGAGATTATAGTGCTGTGAATTAATTGACTGTACAAAAGGTCCTTTCTTGGTGAAGTCAAAGTTTTTTTCCCTGTCAAGTGGTATGATGGCCATCTCCATATTAACTGATATGTGAACCACTTGATGTTCACTGTGAAAACTGCCACTGAAAATTAGTTTTGCAACTTGTAGGTGAGATGATTAAAGTCTGCATACTTGCAGATTAATTGTGGGGACTCCGTCATTGATTCCCTGAAGCTCTTTGCTTGTTTAGCCTTGTGTAAGAGGTACGAGTTTAGTCTGTTCATGCATCATTTTTCTTTCTTTTGTTACAGTGCTAGTACTTTTCCAGTGCCATGGGTTTTTCTTCCGCCTACTTGACCATTTTATGTAGTCTGTTCTTTGACCAAGCACACTGGATTGGATCAAACTTCTGCTGTCTAATTTTTGTCATGCATTGCTAGGTCATGGTTTCATGTTTGTGAAGAATTCATTGATCTCCGTTGATTCTGCTGCCTTGGGTCATTCCTTCAACTATTTTCAGTGATGATCAGACGGTATTCCTTATTGATTAATTGGTGCGGAACTTGCTCCTTCCAAATGACTCTAATTAGTTGGGAATACTTATTTCGTGGAAGTCTGCAAGTCAGAACGAGTTAAACTTCACATAAATCCAAGTGTAAGCAAGTTTTGGCTGAAAATCAGTTGAATTGATTTGGTTGTTTGTGGGGCTGTTATTAAGAATATAAAATCAGTTTTAGATTTTACTTCAGCTCTCTGATATCACCCATGTTTGCATGCCTTTTATCATTATCATCACCACGACCATCACCATCATCATCGTCATCATTATTTTGGCCGTGTCAGCTGTCTTTGTTGACTGTTTTTTTTATTTCTTAACCTTTTCTATTTACATGATGTGTTGATGATCTACATTGGCATTTAGAGAGTACATGACTAAGCATTGCGGTTCACTGCTTCATAACTACATTACAGAATGCGCTACGGTACAGGTTTCAGTTTGGGTTCGCTGCAGTTTTTGTATTGTACTTAATGTACTTTTCAGCTGATTGGCTGCTCTGTTTTTGACACTCTGACAGATATGAAGAAGATGAAAATGATTTCACCTGAATTGTCTTTTTCTTTGGTCTGCTGCAGAGCCTTTCCCATTGGGATTTTCGGTTTTTTCAAGATGGCTCATTCCATGAAGCATCATCAGGCACTTGTAATATCGTTGGCCCTGTTTCAATTTGGTGCATTATCGGGAGGGAATGACTCGCCAGCTGTTGCCCGCTGCAAAAGCACCATGGTCTCCTCCTTTGAATCTGTTTGGGCCCTTCTTTGTGTATATTACATGGGCATGCACTTATGAGCACTCGGGGCGTATCCGTATCCAATCTATATCTGCAAAACAATAGCCCCCAACTCATCTAAGCCAGACAAGGCATACTAGCAGTTTGAACATGACCGTTCTTTTTTTCTCTTTGTATTTGGGGAGACAGTTATTATGAAAAGCTGTCCATCCAAGTGCACATAACCGAAGCTGATCTTTTCTTCTTGCTTCCTTTGTACAGATGAAATAGAGAGGTGGTGTTGTCTCCTACTGCAATATCCCTCCGAGGAGTTCTCTATTTTGACAAAGCTTGAGAGGCCTTGTCTGTAACCTCAGATCCTCGGGTCAATGGTTTGATAGATGATGGAGAGGAGTGCAAAGGCTGTTAAAAGGAAACATAAGTTAGGCAGTCTCAATTCAATCTTTTGAACATCCTATGCGGCGGTCGATCTTGGAAACTGCCTGATTCGGGCTACGGATGGGTGGGTAAAGATTGCCATTTTGTTAAAAGCACATCAAAGAAGTTTGGCGGACTATAATAGAATCACAAAATGCTGTCATCGTGATTTTACATCAATTGTATTATAAACAATCAATTGTATTATCTCTTTACCAAAAAAAAAAAAAACAATCAATTGTATTATAGACAAGAAAGCTTACGCATCATGGAAGGGACTATTCGAATTATAGGATCTTACGAAGAATCCTATTCAATAACAGGATTTTGTTACTAATTCATGATAATCATTGAGAGAGCACACGGATATTATCATATAAGACAGAATGATCATATTTGGGGTGTATAAATGAAATTTAGACATATCGCAACATCAATCGACTGCAGAGAAGACGTGAAATAAGTTCATAGCCGGAAGTAATTTTAATCGAGCATAACACGAGATGCATTTTTTTCTCGAACAATTCAGTTCACTCAAAAAATACTGAGCATCTTTAAATAAAATTCATCAAACGGAATATATACTCATAAAATTTCAAATCTGTGAAAGATGCAATCATCACGTATTGCTGCTGAAATCTTTACATTTGCGTATTCGCTGCGAAAAGTTGACGAATATTCAGAGCATTCATTCATTGATCCCCCACATCAAATTGGGTCTCTCCTTCATGGGTATGGAGCTTTGCTGCGGAAGACGAAAGAAAGGAATGGGGGAGGGGCCTCACGAAGCCCGCAAGCGAAAAAGTTCTGTATCTTGAAGTCTTGAGCTGGGCCCTCTTAGAGTTCGCCCACCAAACCAAACCAATGCCTCCTCGCGTTTCCGTAACACTTCTCTCTCTCTAACGGCTCGGCTCCGCCTCCCACCACCACCTGGGTTGCCGTCAGTGCAGTGCTCGCCTGATCGCCGTCGGGGGTCGCCGGCGAACTCTCCGGTCATTCGTCGCCGTGAACGTGCCGCGAAGGTTCTCGCTCCCCTCGTTGCCGGCGTTCCCTCTCTTGGGTTGTCTGAATCTCTCCGTATCCGTGCTCATTGGGCAGTTGGGTCCGGCGGCTCTGCCCCTAAGAAGACGTGACGGTCCGGCGACTACTCCAAGTCTCTTCAGGTATAATTTCTTTCTGTCTTGTTGTTTTTGAAAAATGTTTAACTGGGAGGGTTTAGGGTTTATGCTTTTGGGAGTTCTATTGTTTCGATTTGTTGATCATCCATCTTCGTGTTTCATGAATTGCAATGCTTTTAAGAAATGGGTATTTGCTTGCTTCTCTGCTTGTGAACCAAGTCCATGGGATGGATGGATGTTGTCTCACTGGAAAGTTACATACTTTCGTCATGAACCGGCTAATTAGTTCCACTTACCCAAATAATATGATCTGTATCGCGGAACTTTATCCGTTTTCAAGATGATTTTTCTGCTGAATTTTAGTGGTTGGCTGATCTTCAAAGGTTAAGTTTGCGTTCCCAGGTTTTAGCTGATGGAATTCTAGCATCTTGATTAGTAGAATCGCCCAAATGGAGTAGGTCCATGAGGGAGTGACTGTTTAGACTGATTGATTGCTCGGGTGTGCGAGCATTGTGAAGTCCTCTTTTGTTTTACCTAAGTTTTGCTTTAAATCTCTCTGGCTCTTTGTTCTTTTGCTGTGTTCTGGTTTGTTACTGGTTCACACTCCAATATTGAGGAAGGCGAAAAAAAATTGATTTCTTTGCCATTATTGCTATGTCTTGTATTTTCTTGAATCCATTTTGCTTCGGCTTGTTTATGTTGAATAGGCTATTCCACATGGGAGTATCATGTGAAGCTTGTAGTGCTTGTCTATGACAGAGATGATTGGTAAATGTATGATAGAAAGACAAATAAGAGGAGACTTCTTTCTTCTGTTTTTTCTATTGTTGATAATAGCTGCCGAATCAATGATTGGGCTATGATAGTTTGTATTCAGATGTCCAAAGCATATGGCCCTAGAGTTACCACTTTGCTTACATATGATTCAGCCATTTTTCATTTTTGACACTGAAATCTGGCAGGGGGGAAAAATGACGAACGACCAAAATGAAGATAAGCAAGCTTCTAGCCCCTCGGCTGTTGGCTTGAAAGAAATGGTGGAAGAACAATATCGGAAGATAAAAGAGAATGCAGAAACATATCCTTACGTTTGGGCTTCATATATTCTAGTTTACGGAGGATTCGCTCTTTGGACAACATATAGGTGGAGAAAGCTTCGGAGGACTGAGGACAGAGTTCGAGTCCTTCAAGAAAGACTTCGCAAACTCGTCGAAGCTGAAGAATCAGCAAGCTCTGTATCATCGGTGCAAAAGGGTCAGCAATCTTCGGTTGCATCAGTAGAGAAGGGCTCTTCATCGGGCGCAACACCACCACCTACTAAATAGGGTCCCCGTAGATCTGCTTTCAGCTAATGGTGGATGAAACGCTCTCGAGTCACGGTCGACAGATGAGACCTCCGTTTTTTTGGGATAGTGAAATTGCAAATCGATCCTCAGCCTGTCTTGGCAATGTTTTCTTGATCTCTGCCTAAAAACAACATTTCAATTACTTGGCAGTGATGTTTTCTTTGACAGGGTGTGAGAGATGATTGTGTTCTTGGAAAGCATCGGGCAATAAAAAGGAAAATGTTATTTTTTGGGGTGGATTGGAGCTTAGATTGGTGTAATTGTTTCAGTTGGGTTATTGTGTTTTTCCAAATATATACATTTCGAGACTCACTCTTGAATCAACAGCATTCTTTGCGTTGCAGAGACAAGACAGATTACTCGTCAGATACAACCAAGATGAACAGCTGACCACATTTCAATGCTGACAAAAAGTAGTTCATTACCACCCGCAAGGCACGAACTGCAGCAAGCTAAATTTCCTCCGCTGAACTCTGCATTTTCGTTTTTCATTGTTATCTATGAACGTGTCACTCTTATGTGTTACTACTTTACCATGTTTTATGTCGTTTGTTCAAATACCCTGCAGTTGTGTTCCTTAATCAAATTGCCTGCTCAGCCTACTCACTGACTTGCACACCCCAATTGTTACTCTGAAGAGAGAGTGAGTCTAGGAGTTTCGAGTGTGGGACGATTCAAATGATTGAAATTACTCCTTGGTTATGCATGAGCCTGCTCTTACAACCTTAGGCCTCCCATCGATTCGATAGTGGATATACAGTCTATCAATCTTACTACTTAAAACCACTGGAATTTGCCTTAGTGGCCATCCTTCCTACTTGAGAAGAAGGAGGTGGGGAGTTTGATTCCCCACCTTCTCAGGGAGCTCGGGGTGGGGACGTTTTGTTTCAAATGTGGGTTTCGATTCCCATGCTCTACAACGAGGCACGGCAAAAGTCTAAAAAGGAGTTGAGAGTTAGAATAAAACAAACAAACAAAAAAAAATCTTACTACTTAACAACAGCAAGGATATCCTCCTCTCGATCGATATATGCATGTAAAAATCCCTCACATTGCCTCTCGAAACATTTTGGCAAACACTCGGTGTAGCAGCAATCGAATCATCTCTAAAGCGAAACGAGGCTTTCCATGACATTGACCAAATCGCATCCCGCCAATAGTGAAACATTCGTGAATTGGCTTGTGATTGGATTCCAAGAAACTTGTTCTCCACCACCCGCTATTTCCATCACAACCTCCCCATTCCTCGTGAAGCCATTAAATGCCTCTACCGGTCCGCTAGTCCGAAAAGTATACAGCTTAATCCAAGGCTTGGTCATGCCGAACTCCCTCATAACCCAAACAGAACAAATGGAATGCGGTTCATCAGGAGGCCTATAGTTCGTCAGATTAACAAACACAGCCAGCAAGTCATTTGGTACTGCCACAGACACTTCTACAGTGCCTTTGTCAAAGCAAAAAAATCTCTCCAGGCAGAGCCATTTCATCAAACACCTCGCCTGCGATATCGAACGAGACTATAGATCCATATCCGATCCGCGCCAACGGATCATAAGACTTGATTCTTCCGATCCAATGCAGATTCCCATTAAAAAATACCGCGGGACGGGAGCCGCAGAAAGGAACCTTGCGCTCCAAACTTCTCCAGGAATCCGTACTGAGCGAATAAATCTCGACTCGAGGCTTTGCCTCGCCGGAGCATCCAGGATGGTCAGGCGGACAATAGAGAACCCTCACAATCTTATAGTCCTTCGACTTCGCGTCGAAGCCAAACCCTAGAGCTTCGTGAGGATCCTTCTCAAGAAAAAACTGACGGCCCGGACTGGATCGTCGAACCGCCCTGTGCTTTCTCGTGAACAAATTCCACAGATACATCGTCCGACCATAGCCGTTTATGGACGTTTGCGTGACACAGATCAAACCATCACACGAGCCGACAATGTCGGAACGACCGCGAGGACCAAGGAACGGGATTTCGAGCGGAGGCAGAGCAAGAGACTCGCTAGGAAACAGAGAGCACAGGCGATAGCGCCAATCTAGGCACACGAGGTACCGATTGGAGGCATCGAGAGCGGAGTGGCGCAGGTGGAGGGCCACGAAACGAGGGTCGTCGACGGCGGAACGCCACGACCGGCAGACGCACCTGCAACGGAGGAGAGATTTCACCAGCAACCGCTTCAGGACCTCAGCAACGAGCTCGTCGCAGAGCTTCGGTTCCTCGCCGGATGAGGATCGACTCGCTGGTCGGCTTCTGATGAATCGAGAGAAGGAGGGTGAGCGCGAGGTGGAAACCTTTCTCCGTCACTGGATCGATTTGCCATGGAAGAATTTTGCTATCACGTGACTCGACTCGGGAGCTCCCTAGTGTTGTTAGGGTTTCCGGAAGTTTTTTGCAGGACGAGTAGGTTTCAGACCCGTAAGGCTGCGTTTAGTCGACCGGATAAAAGCCAGGATATGATATATTTTATCCTATCCTGTGTTTGGTAGTGGTCCAGGATAAGATAAGGTCGGATATAGACCGGATATAGTCCGGATAAAAAAATCCGAGAGGGGATGTGAGATAGACCCGGATAGGATTTCTAATGCCTATTTTTCCATAAACCCTACGCTCCACTCGCCGTCATCTTCATCCCCACACCTTGTGCGCTTTCACCAAAAAAATTTCTTGGCTTTTTTTCCTTCACCGACTCCTCCCTCCGGACCCGTGAATAGCAAAAAAAAAAAATTATCATATCCGACTTTAAATCCGTAGTCCACCAAACAGTGGATAGGATATGAAGAAATCCCAAGATTTCTTATCCTATCCTATCCAGTCCTATCATGTTTAGAAATCCGGACGACCAAACGCAGCCTAAGGGTCGATTTCCCAGTATTGGAATTGGAAACCCTGTTCACCTTGATAGCAAAATTGAGTAATTCCTGGGTCAAACTTGGGAACTAGACAGGGGCTATTTTTTTTCTTTTTACGTAATATGAAAAATCTACATTGCATTGAATATGAAATTATAGTTTTTTTTATTTATTTTTATTTCGGGATAGTATGTCGAACATATTCAATTTCAACTTATATTCTATGTTTCAAAGAAAGAACACAATTCTTGAAATCATGGAGGAAGGTGTGAGAGAGAGAGAGAGAGAGAGAGAGAGGCAGCGAGAGTGAAGCTTCTCAATCACAAAACTCAAGACTAAACCAATGAAGAAAATTACGATTTAAACAAGTTGTATGGGTCATCTTACAAAACTACGATTGTCTAATATATTTACACTTATATATAGAGATGTTATTTGCTAAAAGTCATTTGCATTTAAACTAGAATCAATACTTCGAACCAAATCACATATAATTTCTTTGTATGAATTTCTAAAGGATGACACTGGAAAGTCGTTAAACTTTATCATTTATTTATGATTCCATTGTTTGTGGGGAGAAGAAAACTAAAAGTGCCAAAAGTTGTGTACGGCTTTCACTTTAGTGTCAAAAGTTTTCACCGGCTCACTTAAGTATCAAATTGGAGAAAAAAACTATCATTAAAGCGAGAAATTCCGGCCAAATTAATTGCGTGGCTTTTATAATTAAAATTTTAATCTGAGTTGGCTTTTTTTAAAAAAATTAATCCATGTGACATTTCCATGCGTATATCTCTCCTTCCTCTCCCTCCACGTCCACCCTCCTTCCAAACTTCAAATTCTAGCTTCCCTCTCCTGTTTCCATGGAACCCTCGCTCTCCGCAATCACTCTCCAACCCTTCAAACTCTGCAACGCCAGCAACTTCGTCTCGTGGGTCGACGACGACATAGTCACCCACTACCTCTGTTGGGATTTCGTCGCCTCCCTGTTGACACCTAAATTTTGGCGACCTAGTCAGTTGTTCGTTGTATAAAAAATTAGGGATCAATGCCGGTCCCTAGACAAAAAAAAATTAATTAAATTACATATAGATTAGGAGCATTTGAATTAGTATTTAGGCTCATGTAGTTACATTTGCATTAGACTGGCAGCAGATGGACTTAAGCGAATGGCTCTGAGCTTAATTAGTTTGGACTAAGCCCGTGGTGAAGAAAACTTGTCCCAAGACCCATGACATGGCCGAATCCTTAAGGTGAGAGAACATTTACTGGGGCAAAATTGGAAAATAATTTTGTTCAGTATAGCAATTCTGACCATAAGGGTAAAAAAAACAAAGAATATATTTGGGTTGATCACGATCACAAGAGCTAGACATATTTTCAAAGCAAAGAAGCAAAGGCAATATGTTTTAAAGATCTTCGTGCGTCGAGATATGTGAGCACGACAAGGTTTTCCGGTGATCGAAAAGCTATTTTCCCTGGTGCCTACTCGATGTCGCTCTTTGGCCAGCCACGAGTCCTGTGACCCTCTCACCATCGAACCGTCCCTGACCGAGTCACACCGCAAGCCATCATCCGTCGAGTCCCGCAATCCGCAATCTAGATCCGTCGTCCGTCCAAATTTGGAAACAACATTCAAGCAATATCGCGGATTAGGTAAGAATTTTCATTATTCGATTTTCATATATTTTGTTGCCTAATATGTGAAATTGCAATCTTATTTAAATCTTTGAGTGATATTACCATAACCATGAAAACTCCCAAGTACCCTTAAATTAGGAATTATTTCGTAATTTCATAACGTGCTATGGTTGCCAATTCGATCTCCCGCCCGAGATACGATTTGCGATTGTGTGGAAAAATTGGCCAATTCGATCTCATGCCCGGGATATGATTCGTCAATCTATCGTTTCTAAATTTAAATGGATATCGGCAATATGTTGTGATATAGTGTCATTTGATTGCTATTTCTTTCTATCTTTGTTTGATTTGAATTGATCTTGTTTTTTTCTAAAAAAAATCCAAAAAGATTAGATACTATTGAAGTAGATGATTTTAAAGATAGATTGCATGTTTAAATTAGAGAATTTAATTAATTTCGAATTTCATAGAAAATTACAAAAAATACCACGTGCATGTCATATTAGAGTAGTTGCATATTAATTAATTCTCGTCATTAGAAATCTCACGTATAGGTTCATTTGCGTGCCACATTAAAGATAGTGCATTATATTGTTGTGAGAATTAAGATATTTAACTAAATCGTATGTCGCATTTCATACGAGACGTAGAATGGATTGCATAAAGTATAGTTTTTGTTAAATTGCAGAAAACCCTAAAAAAGATTTGAGTGAAATTGCGTGTTAATTAAAAATCATATTAGGATTATCAATATGATTTTCCAACTAATATTGCAGATGCTTTCGTTGCTTTGAGGTAAGTCTCTATCTTGCAATTTATTTATTGCTTTGCATTACTGAGTGTTATATTATTGATTGCGCATCCGCATGATTAGCTCGTATGTTAGTGAATAGGTTTAAAATCAATCCAAACTACCTGTAAATATTTTTTGAAATAAAAGAGAAAATGTATCAAAAGGGCATTAGAGTAATTTAATGTAACCAAGTCTCCGAATCCATAATATCTGGTTCGTAGGAGTAAAGTAATTCTTCTGATACTTTACTTGGGTTTTTAATCGACCCACCAAAAAATAGATTAGTGGCGACTCCTAATTGAAATGATTTGCATATTAAGAACTTAAACCTTAAGTCGCGAATTGGTAAGGGCTTAGGAGAACCTGAGTTAAGTTTAGGCTTAATAATCCATTAGCCGAACCCTTAGGTAGTGAATCGCAGGAGGTTAGGTCGCGACACTCCCTACAAGGCCGCCAAGTTATATCTCCGAGCCGTCCCCATTCCCCACTCGTGGCATCACTCCGTCTGCATCGGCGACCACTCAATCGGGTACGTCTCCGTCAAGCCTGGGTCTGGCGACGAGTGGTGCCGCATCCGCGTCGGCTACGCTATCGGGGTTGAGTTCTGGGGGTGGGGGTTCGCAACAGCGGCACTGAGGATGGCCGCCCACAGTGTGTTTGACAAAATGCCTGAGTTGGTGAGGCTGGAGGCGTCTGTGTAAGTGGAGAATGGAGGGTCTTAGAGGGTTTTGGAGAAGTTGAGCGTTGCCAATCCCCATCCGTGGTGTCGCTCCATCTGCATTGATGACCGCTCGATTGGGTATGTCTCTGTCAAGCCCGGGTCCAGCGATGAGCGATGGCTACGCTGTCGGGACCAAGTTTTGGGGTCGGGAGTAGACATGGCCATGGTTCAGGAACCGCCGGTTCCGGTTCGTGGCCATGTATGAACCGGCTGGTTCCGGGCCGGTTCCGGTTCCGGTTCCGAGCCGGTTCCGGTCCAGTTCCGGTTCCGGTTCCGGGCAGGTTCCGGTTCCAGTTCCTGCCGGTTCCGGACCTGGAGTGTCCGCTGCTCGGGAGCCGATTGTACGAGTGCATCGAATCCGGTGGCGGGACGGTGCGTCGGATCTTCGTCTTCTTCTTCTTCTTCTTCTTCTTCTTCTGCTCCTCCCTCGCGCGCTCTCTTTCTCACTCGCCGGATCGTCACATCGCCGGCGGAGCTGCCGTGGATTCTCCGATGATGGCCCGATTTCGATTCTCTCGTGCTCGCGTGCTCCTGAGTTTCGATGCTTCATTGTGGTTTGGAGGGAAGGAGGGAGGGAGGGACTTCCAGACCTGGAGGAGACCGCAGCTGTTGGTGTCGCGACAAGGTGGAGGTCGCGGGGGCTGTAGGTTTATGGCAGCAATGAAGATGGCGTTGGAAGTTCCGGTTATCTTTTTATTTTTTTCATTTTTTTTTATTTTTGCCCGTTTCCAAGGCAGCCTGCAAAGGCTGCCCTGGCAACGGGCCGCAGCAGGGCCTGCAGACGTGCAGGCCCTGCTGCAGGTTTTTTTATTATTTATTTTTTATTTTTTTAAATTTTTAAATTTTTTTTTGGAACCGGGCCCGGAACCGCCGGTTCCAAAATTGCTGGAACCGGAACCGGGCCCGTAGGCCACGGGCCGGTTCCGGTTCCGAACCGCGGGCCGGTCAACGGGCCGGGCCCGGGTTTGACCGGGCCGGTTCCAGGCCGAAACCGGCCCGTGGCCATGACTAGTCGGGGGTACGCGATGGCAGCGTTGAGGATGGCCACCCGCCACGTGTTTGACAAAATGCCTAAGTTGATGAGGCTGGAGGCAACACAGTTTTACTTGGATCGAATGAATGGAAGAATTTTGTTTTCCATGCATATTGCATACATATAGATTGAACTTTGTTTCCCTGAGGATGTAAGATGTGTTTGCTTTCTGTTTCATGCTTCTGTTCTGTGCATCGTTATGGACTGCAATTTGAGCTCTTTTAGTGGGGGTCTATGTGCATTTGGAAGATGCATATTTGAAGCATGTCTTAATTATTTGAAGTTAATTGGTTTAGTGTGCCTGTGAAGCTTCAGTGGCGCTTGAGGCTTGTGCCAAAGTGATTGATGGAAAATACGTTGCAAAGCAAATTAGAGACGAGATTTCAACTGAAGCATCTAGAATGAAGGAGGCGATTGGGGTTGTACCAGGCTCAGCTGAGATTCTTGTCGGCGACAGGAAGGATTCTGCTACAAATGTACACAACAAGAAAAAGGCTTGTGAGTCTGTGGGGATTAACTCCTTCGAAGTGCATTTGCCCGCAGATTCAAAAGAAGAAGATGTGCTCAAGTTTATCTCAGGATTTAATGATGAACCTTCGGTTCACGGCATTCTTGTTCATTTACCACCGTCTTCAGTATGTATCCAAATGCACTTTCTTCCCTAATTAATTGACGTAGACTTCTCGAATTGAGTTTCTTGGGTTCAATCTTTAATCTCATGAGAGGAGGATTCGTTGAAAAAGGTGAATTTTGATCATCATGTAGGAGTTATGACGACCTTTGTCCTTGGATATGATTTTTTATACTTCTTAGAATCTTGTTATAAACCAACTTTCCTATGAGGCGGTCATTGGACTCTCTGCAATAAAGCCCCTTGGCCCTATCTGCCGTATTAACTAAATGGCATCTTCTTGTTCTTTTTAGAATATTAACAGCTAATTGTTCTTCTGCCAGCATATGAATGAACAGAGTATCCTAAATGCAGTAACTATCAAGAAAGATGTGGATGGATTTCACCCATTGAACATTGGTCGACTTGCTATGAGGGGTGGAAAGCTCTTGTTTGTGCCCTGCACTCCTTAAGGCTGAATGCTATTCTCATGGCATTCGCACCCCAATTTTACTTGCACAAGAGACAAGCACTTAACGTATATGTTATGATTCAATAATTTTGAACCTCGTTTTATGAATGAACCTGATAGAGAAAAATAAAAAGAACAATTACAAGCCTGGGTGACGAATCGAGAGTGAGGCGACATTAATGTGATATTTGTGCTTGTGCGTGCTTGGCACTGAAATGATCACTTTTTAACAATAACTAACACTGAAGTGATCCCTTTTTAACGACGACTAGCACTAAAGTGATCACTTTAAAAAAAATTAGCACTTAAACGATCACTATTTACAACTTTTAGACGACGTCATTTAAGTGTTATATGCTGACTCAGCATGCCGGTGAGCCACGTAGGTCTAAGAAATTAATAAAATATGGCCACGTCGGATTTCCGGCGACCTAAATTGAAATTGGCACTAAAGTTATCGTTTTTTTTTTAAAGTGGCACTTAAGTGATCCGAAAAAAACTTTTGGTACTAAAGTGAGCGCTGTACACAACTTTTGGCACTTATACTGTTATTCTCCCATTGTTTGTGCATTATGTTAATTATAGTGCCGGAACAAAATTGAATTGTTTGGTTTGAATTGAAATGTAGTCCAAGCGGAACCACAAGCACGCCTAACCCAATTAAGCACGAGGGTGAACCTTTTCAATGGGACGATAGTCAAAATAATTGAGATGAAGGAAGAATAGTCCATTGGATAACAAAACTGTCAACCTAAATCAATAGTCGTTTTGATTTGCTTTTATTATCCCCGTCATTAAATCATTTAGATAAATATAAGCACACCATAGTGTACGGTCCAAATACTGTACAGTCCGAATATTTCATTTTAAACAAATTATATGTTGGGTTAATACCACGAAAAACTCTAAAGTTGTACACCTGTGATAAATTTACTCCAAACTAATTATTTTTACCACAAAAAACTCTAAACTAATACACTTGTGACAAATTTACCCCAAACTAATTTTTTGATTACCAAAAACCCCAAACTGGTACATTTGTGACAAATTTACCCTCAGTTAAATTGAATTAATATCATAAAAAATCACAAATTGGTACACCTGTGACAAATGGAGGGTAAAACCCATAACTGATACACCCATCAACTGTCGCGCATCATCTAACTCAGAAATTTGACGGTAAAATTTAACGGAAACTAATGGAGGGTGAAATTATCACAGATGTACCAATTTGGAGTTTTTGGTGGTCAAAAAAATAGTTTGGGATAACTTTGCCATAAATGTATCAGTTTGGCGTTTTTCTTGGTGTTAACCCTTATTTGTTCTTTATATTCACTTATGTTCATTTGTCTATTTTTTTTAATAAGTATGTAGGCATTTGTTTAGGTTTATACTTTGGGGGGAACTTAGCAATCACTTTATTATTATCAGGACTATTCCTACAAATATTGTCAATTCAATTCAAACATTCTTAAAGCAAACAAGCTATAACCTAAATTTGCAGTCCCCAAATCATCAAACAATCAAACATGTACGCACGCATATAACAATGTGCCGTGGTGGAAAATCTAACTCGTGAGATGAGATAAAAGTTTCTGCAATACCTAACCTAAAGGGTGATACCCCTGCTTTTCTAAGTGGACCGGAAGTGCGTCCGAAGACGGAGGGAGAGAGCTACCATGAAGCAATGGTGGAGCATGAGAGCCGGTATGGAAGCCAGATGATTCTGGTGGTTTCGTCGAGGCCGAATCTCAGAGGTGAAGAATGAAAAATGATGCTTCTGTTGATCCTGTTGAGGACGACACGGCGGTGAAGAATCAAAAAGGATGATTCTCTCTCCAATAAGACCAGCTACCAAGTTTGTGTACTTTGAATGTGATGCCGTCGTATTCTCATAAAAAGAAAAGGAAATCCTGAGGGATAACAGGTGAAACATTCAATGGAGGAAAATTGGAGCTCCTTACACAGCCCAAATCACCTGCAAGATTTTCCAACAGTTTCTTATCGGGCTAACAAGTACTCAATGTGTGCAGGCATTTGCAACTTCGACCAAATATCTCCAGACTCCATCTTCCTCCAAATTGAATGATCAAATTATCAGTTCACAGCAATCACGATAACAATTCGCTCGAGCACTATGAATTGGTACCTAAAAAAGGACATGATACTGTGCCAGAATAATAATGTCGCAGTACACTAAGACTTAGTCATGGACAAACCCTCAATCATCTAATTGAAAATTATTACAATCATGAGGGACAACTATAATGATGGGAAAAGAGAGTGAAAAGGCACCTCAACGTTGTCAAAATTGCTGTGATATATGATGGTACTTTATCATCATTTCAAAATACCTTCTTTTTTGCATATTATAGAGCGACTTTGTATGCGGGCAGCTAATAATAGATGCTCCCAGTATTCCAGATATGTTGCAGTTCTTGCGCCTCTGAGAAACTTTCCGATGTCATGAGAGGATATCAGGACTAAAAGCGTTGTGTGCTCCATCTGTTTCTCAATTTTTTGATGGCTCAAGTTGTGCCCAGGCAAAGCAGATGGGTACAAAGCATATTTTAAGACAGCCTTGAATCAAGACATGGTCCACATGCAGCAGCTCCTTGATATCATCAGAAGCTAATAGCTTACGCTATAGAAGCTTTAGACTTGACCTGCCCGTTTTCATCCTTGACAGAAGTCAGCAACTGCTGTCTCCTCTGTTCCTGAACACTCCTCCGGTTAGATTCGAGTATGATAAGAAGAGCAGTTATATCAGCTGGGCTTACTCCACCCACTCTACTTGCTTGTCCAATAGTCTGTGGCCTTACCTGCCAGCATAAGAATGATATAAGAAAAAAACATTTACTCATTGTTCGATGAATTATCATTTTCATTTGAAAAAAGTTGGAAATGACATACAATATCCTGAAACCAGTATAACCGGAAAGTTCCTAGTTATTAGGAGTTTATACAAAATGAAATGATAGGTTTAGGATCCCAAAAGTTGAGAATCTCCTAATAGGTTAGTTCAAGAATGGACTCAATACTCTACCACCCAAGAACTGTTCACTCCTCTTCCCAAATTTTGATATAACTGTATTTATAGAGCACGTCACATGACTGATAGTCAATATTCTTTCTCCTAAATTTTATGTGACAGCAATTTGGTATATATGTAACTCATAAACTGCAATAACTAATTGATGTAGCACAAAGACAGCTCTGGCAACTAACCAAACATAAGATGAAGGAAATGTCAAGAGACAAAGGAGAGACCTCCACAGAGAATAAGCCAAAAAGAGAACGGGTTACTAGTTTGAAATCACCATGCAGATCCAGTCTAATTGAATAGTTCTTTAATTTTATTGGATTAGTAATCTAGCCAGAAACTGAATGTGCTCTTGCATGCACGCATGGATTTCCACTGGCCCACCTAAACAGCATATACTCTTGCACGCATGCATTTCTTCCATCACCAGGTAAATTGGTATTATTCTAAACCTCCTGAGTGTACTATGGTAATGATATGCTTCATTTGATAATCCAAAAAGATGTCAATTGAAATGATAAAGTAGAAAAAATTGGACCTTGGAGAGTTTCTCCCTTGCTTCAAGAGACGAAGTAGTCATGGAATAGTAATCCAAGTCGTCAGGAAGTGGTCTATGTTGTCGATGGACCATCTGCAAGCCAAATGAGAGAGAGAGAGAGAGAGAGAGAGAGAGCATATCATGATTAAATACACATCAATTTGCAAATTTGAGTGCTAACAAGGCCCAAAGCAGGTTTAGGGGGAAAGATGGATTCTAAACCAAAACTATTGAAACAACAAAAGCCCAAAAATAAGATATCAAGGGTTATCCACCTGCTGGAGTTGACTTTTTTGGCGCAAAATGAATCCTTCATATTCGACATCAATCTCGACCCATTCTTTCACCATTCGGGTAAGGTTTTTATTGCCAAAACCATGCACATCGAGGACTTTGTATTGTATGTGTGGCTTCTTGAGAAGACTCTCGAGACTTGAAAAATCCTTCACAGGCTGAGCAGACAAGCGGGTAACATCAGCTGCCAAGTGTCCTCCTCGGAAGTACGAATTAGAAGGGGAAAACAAAGTCATCCTCACATTTTGACTATGAATGCACAAATTCATGAACTTGTAAACGTTCGAAATGTAGAGACAGGGATACACTATTATACTAGAAGCCAGGTCTAGATAGTGATATATGACATAGCCCTAAGAAACTAGTTACACACTATGAAGACCATCACCCTTAAAGTGTACCACCACCTATTAAATAGGGTCCCTTGTAGATCTGCTTTTGGCTAATGGTGGATGAAACGCTCTCGAGTCACGGTCGACAAATGAGAGCTCCGTTTTTTGGGATAGCGAAATTGCGAATCAATCCTCAGCCTGTCTTGGCAATGTTTTCTTGATCTCTGCCTAAAAACAACATTTCAATTACTTGCAGTGATGTTTTCTTTAACAGGGTGTGAGAGATGATTGTGTTCTTGGGAAGCATCGGGCAATATAAAGGAAAATGTGTTTTTTTGGGGTGAATTGGAGCTTAGATTGGTGTAATTGTTTCAGTTGGGTTATTGTGTTTTTCCAAATACATACATTTCGAGACTCCACTTGAATCAACAGCATTCTTTGTGTTACAGAGACGACAGATTACTCTTGTCAAGTACAACCAAAATGAACAGCTGACCACACTGCAATGCTGACATGACAAAAAGTAGTTCATTAGCATCCGCAAGGCACGAACTGCAGCAAGCTAAATTTCCTCCACTGAACTCAAATTTTCGTTTTCATTTTTATCTATGAACGTGTCACTCTCATGCGCTATCACTTTACCATGTTTTTATGTTGTTTTTGTTCAAATGCCTTGCGGTTGTGTTCCTTAATCGAATTGCGTGCTCAGCCTACTCACTGACTTGCACACCCCAATTGTTACTCTGAAGAGAGAGCGAGAGTTTAAGAGTTTCGAGTCCGGGACGACTCAAATGATTGAAAATACTTAATATGCATGAGCCCAGCTCTTACAACCTTAGGTCTCAAATAGATTCGATAGTGGATATACAGTCTATCAATCTTACCACTTAACAACAGTAAAGATATCCTCCTCTTGATATATGTGTGCACAAATCCTCGTATTGCCTCTCGAAACATTCTGGCAAACACTCGGTGTAGCAGCAATCGAATCATCTCTAAGGCGAAATGAGGCTCTCCACGACAGTGACCAGATCATATTCCGTCAATAGCGGAAGATTTGTGAATTGGCTTGTAATTGGATTCCAAGAAACTCGTTCTCCACCATCTAGTTCCATCAGAAGCTCGCCATTCTTCGTGAAGCCATCAAATCCTGCTACCACTCCACAAGCCTTAAAAGTATACAGCTTAGTCCAAGACTGAGGCACGCCGTACTCCCTCATAACCCAAACAGAACAAACGGAATGCAGTTCGGGATCCACAGCTGCTTTTATGAAACTAATGAAAACAGCCAGCAAGTTATTTAATACTGCCAGAGACATCACCAAAGCGTCAGAGTCTGCGTCAGAAATCTCTTCCGGCGGCAGAGCCATTTCATCAAACACCTCACCTGCAACATCGAACAAGACTATTGATCCGTACCCACCCTCCTCCTCCCCAAGATCACCGAACTTGGAAGCAAACCAGTGCAGATTCCCATTCAAGAAGGCCGCCGGGTCGTCTTGACAGAGAGCAGGAACCTCACACGCCAAGCTTCTCCAGGAATGTGCGCCGAGCGAATAAATCTCGACCCGAGGCTCCATCCCACCGAAGCATCGGCCATCGTCATCTAAAACATAGAGAATCCTCACAATCTTATAGTCATTCGACCTAGCGTCGAAGCCAAACCCTAGAGCTTCATGAGGAGTCTCCATGAAAGAAAATTGATGCTCCGGACCGGACGGTCGAACCGCCTTGTGCTTCCTGGTGAACAGATTCCACAAATACATCGTCCGACCAAAGCCATGGCCGGAAATCTCCGCGACGCAGATCAGACCATCGCACGAACCGACGATCATGCAACAGTCGGGAGGAGTAACGAACGGGATTGCGATTTGCGACAGGGGAGGGAGGGCGAGAGGCCCCTCGGAGAACAGAGAGCACAGGCGATCGCACCAATCTACGCTCACGAGGTACCAATTGGAGGCATCGAGAGCGGAGTGGCTCAAGTGGAGGGCCACGAAACGAGGGTCGTCGATGGCGGAACGCCACGATCGGCAGACGCTCCTGAATCGGAGGAGAGATTTCGCCGGCAATCGCTTCAGGATCTCGACGGCGACGTCGTCGGGGAGCTTCGGGTCGTCTTCGTCGGAGGAGGATCGATTTGCCCACCGGCTTGCCATGGAAGAAGAAGTAGAGAGCCGGAGAGAATTTGCTGCGGTGCGGCGGCGTGACCATCGCAACCGTTTGTCACGTCGTAGCACCATCTTGTCCTGTGACTCGACGCAGGAGTTCCCTAGTGTTACGGCTCTCCAAAAATTTTCGGAGGACAAGTAGGTTTTCGAGACCTGGGAACTAGACAGGGGGCTATTTTTTTTTTTTTTTTTTTTTACGTTTCATTATATTATATGAAAAATCCACATTGCATCAAATATGAAATTATAGCTTCTTCTTTTTTTTTTGTTTCCTATTTCAGAATAGTATGTCGGACATCTTCAATTTCAACTTGTATTCTATGTTTCAAAGAAAGAATACAATTCTTGAAATCATGCAGGAAGGAGAGACAGAGAGAGAAACAAGTTATATGGGCCATCTTACAAAACTACGGTTTAATTTTTTTTTTGATCTGTTCGGCTCTAACTCTCAACTACGGATGTCAAACGGGTGGATCGGGTCGAGTTTGAGTCGGGTTGAAAAATGGTCTGACCCATATTGACTCATTTAACCCGTTTTGACCCATATTCATGTAGTGAAAATCTAACGACCCATAACCAACCCAACCCATACACGACCCATACCTAACCCAACCTGTATTCTAAAAGACTTTAATATAAAATCCAATTTAGGAAAAAAAACTTATTTCTTGAAATATTTATATTGCTAAAATGCTTCAATGCAATATAAAATAAGTGAACAATTTTTTATAATTTTAAAAAATAAATTTTTATATTTTTATATATCTTTATTTTCTTTTTTCTTTTTTTTAATAAAAATTTTAATTTTTTATTTTTCCTTTTTATTTTTTTTATTTTTCTTTTTCCTTCTTCGGCCGGAGATCGATTGCAAGCGAGCTCGGCTAGATCGGCGAGCTTCGAGCTTAAGCTCGCCAGATTCCGGCAAGCTCAAGCCTCGCCGACCTCTGGCGAGCTTGAAGCTCGCCGGACGAGCTTGAGCACGGCCGATGATCGGCCGAAGAAGGAGGAAACAGAAAAAGAAAAAGAAAAAAAGGGAAAAAATGAAAAGAAAAATAAAAAATAATTAAAAAGTCGATTTTTTTAAAAATAAAAAATAAAAATAATTTTTTTAAAATGACACTTAAGCTATTAGCCTACAAGGCTACAAGTTAATAACTTAAATGTTGACCATATTTGACCAACATAAAATTTGGGCTTTAATGTTGCAAACCCATTTTGACAGGTTTTAAAAATTTCAAGAGACCCTATTCAACCTGGGCCCACTAAAAATGAGTTAATAAATGGGTTTCTGACCCATATTGCCACCTCTACTCTCAAACTTTATCCTACCTTTTGCAGGGCGTGGGAGTCAAAATCCACAATTGAAACTACATGTCCCTTACCCCAGCCCCCTTGAGAATGTGGGGAATCGAACTCCCCACCTCCTCCTTCCTAAGTATGAAGGGTGGCCACTGGGACAAATCCCAGTATTTATACAAAAATATAGGTTGTCTAATATTTTTACATACAAAACACATACACATACATACATATATATATATATAGAGAGAGGTTATTTGCTAAAAGTCATTTGCATTTAAACTAGAAGCAATACTTCGAATCAAATCACATATAATTTTTTTGTATGAATTTCTAAAGGATGACACTGGAAAGTAGTTAAACTTTGTCATTTATTTATGATTCCATTGTTTGGGCATTATGTTAATTAAATAGTGTCGGAACAGAATTAAAGTGTCTGGTTCGAGTTGAAATGTTGTCCATGCGGAACCACAAGCACGCCTAACCCAATTGAGCACGAGGGTGAACCTTTTCAATGGGACGATAGTCAAAATAATTGAGATGAAGGAAGAATAGTCCATTGGATAATAAAACTGTCAACCTAAATCAATAGTGGTTTTGATTTGCTTTTATTATCCCCATCATTAAATCATTTAGATAAACATAAACACGCCATAGTGTACAGTCTGAATATTTCATTTTAAATAGATTATTTGTCAGATTAATATCACGAAAAATCCCAGACTGATACACCTATAACAAATTTACTCAAAACTAATTTTTTGAGCACAAAAACTCCAAACTAATACACCTGTGACAAATTTACCCCAAACTAATTTTTTTATCATCAAAAACCCCAAACTGGTACATTTGTGATAAATTTATCCTCTATTAAATTAAATTTATATCACAAAAAATCACAAACTGGTACACATGTGATAAACGTAGGGTAAAACTTAGCACTAGTACACTCGTCAATTGTCACGTGTCATCTAACTCAGAAATTTGGTGGTAAAATTTAATGGAAACTAACGAAGGGTAAAATTGTCACAGATATACTAGTTTGGGGTCTTTGGTGGTCAAAAAAATAATTTAGAGTAAATTTATCACAATTATACCAGTTTGGGGTTTTTCGTGGTATTAACCCTTATTTGTTCTTTGTATTCACTTATGTTCATTTGTCCGTTTTTTTTTATAAGTATGTAGGCATTTGTTTAGATTTATTATAGTTTTCACACTCGTCCGCACGAGTATCAATATATGGGAAAAGTGTCAAAAAAGTCCTAAACCTTTTGAATTGGTGCCAATTTAGTCCTAAACCTTTTTTTGGTGCCGATTCAGTCCTAAACATTTTGCATTTGTGCCAATTGAGTTCTAAACCTTTTTTTGGTGCCAATTCAGTACTAAACCTTTTGTATTTGTGCCAATTCAGTCCTAAACCTTTTGCATTGGTGCCAATTGAGTCCTAAACTTTTTTTTTGTGCCAATTCAGTCCTAAACCTTTTGCATTGGTGTCAATTGAGTCCTAAATCTTTTGTATTGGTGTCAATTCAGTCCTTCCGGTTAATTTAGCTGAAAAAGATTTATGACTGAATTGGCACAAATGCAAAAGGTTTAGGACTGAATTGGCACCAATGCAAAAGGTTTAGGACTCAAGTGGCATTAAAAAAATGTTTAGGACTCAATTGGCACAAATGCAAAAGGTTTAGGACTGAATTGGCACCAATACAAAAGGTTTAGGACTGAATTGGCACCAAAAAAAGGTTTAGGACTGAATTGGCACCAAAAAACGATTTAGGACTAAATTGGCACCAATGCAAAAAGTTTAGGACTTTTTTGACACTTTTGCCATCAATATATACTTTGGGCGGAACTTAGCAATCACTTTATTATTATCAAGACTATTCCTACAAATATTGTTAATTCAATTCAAACATTTGTTGACACCTAAATTTCGGCGCATCATTTAGTGATTAATTGCATAGAAAATTAGGGATTAAATTTTAATCCCTGAACAAAAATATTACAAATCGCATAGCATAAAGTTTAGGTTCATATAGATTAATTGCATTTCGCATCGGATCGGCGGTGGTAAGCGAGCTTAAAATTCATCACGTAAATCGAGCTCGGGCACCGAACGAGCTCGGCTCACTCGGAAAGCATGGGCTGAAAATCACACACAAAAGGGCTTAGTTGTCTTAATTTGAGCTTAAATTAGCCCATTATGCTTAATTAAAGAAAAGCCCAAATTAATTCAACCCACTTAAAATTAAATTAAAGCCTAAACCTAAGGCCATTAGGACTAGAAAGCCCAGCTAATTAACCTAGGTTTACATTATAAATATATGTTTATGTCTCATAATCAAAAAGGGTGGCTCTCATAATTTTTCAGATCGGATTTTTAGAGAGACATATGAGAGAATTTTGAGAAGAGTGAGAGAGAGAGAGAAGGAGACCGACCGCCGCGCCGCATTGCACGCCTGCCGCGCCACCGCCTGCCACACTACGCAGAGCCGCCCGCCTCGCCCACAAAGACGCCCGCGCGCCACCGCCCGCCTCAAGCGGCCGCTTTCCTCGCCGCTGGGCCGCCTGTCTCCCGCCGTGTGCCACCGCCGCCGCACGCCTACTCGCGCCGCTCGCCGCACACCACCGCGCACGGTGCCACCGCCTCCCGGACGTCCCTCGCTCCGCCTGCCTCGTGTCGCCGTTGCTCGCGCACAGCCCGCCGAGAGAGCCGCCTCGTACCGCCGCCGCGCCCGTAGCCGCCTCGCACCGCCGTCGCTAACCGGGAGCCACTCGCACCGCCGTTAGCCCACCGCCTGTAGCACATCGCCGCCGCACAAACCGCCGGAGAGTCGCCCGTCCCCGCCCTGTTGGTCGCCCGGAGAGACGACCGCCGCGCCGCCGTTCCCGTCGTGTCACCGTCGCTAGCCGCCACTGTTCCCGACGTCACGCCGCCGCTCCCGACGCACCGCCGATCCGCAATCCCGATCCGCTACAGATTCAAATTAGGAAAGAAATCTGCAAATCAGGTAATTATCATATCCCGATTTGATTCGAATATTTGGTTGCCTAATTTGTGCTTATTGATATCTAATTTTGCATATTTGGATAATAAGCATTATTTCAATTAGGATTTTATTTCCTTTTTTGAAATCTTGGATATCTATTACTTTTCAAATTTGGATAGAATTTAGAATTTTCAAAATCTTTTGAATATATCCAAGATATTTAATATATCTAATTTTTTTCAAGATGTGATCGATTAGGAAAATTTCCTAATCCGCAACCGCACACGTGGAAATAAATCTATCTATCAGGCTTTAGATAGAGTTATTTTCATAGCGGGTATTTCGAATTTTAGGATCGATCTGTCAGGCTTCAGATCGAAACTTAATTCGAAAGATTTAGCGGTTATATTTTTTACTTGATTTTAATTTCGAATTTCGATAAAAAATGCCAAAACGATTACTCTAGAATAGGTTAATTTCTTTAGTTTAAAATTGCATGTTTAGATAATTGGCATTTTTAATTCCGAATTTCATTAAAGAAAAAATACAAAAAAAAATAATATGCCCGTCATTAGAAATAGATCACGTCATCGCATGACATATAGTTTGCATGTTAGGTTGCATTAATCGCATGTCAATTTTTTGCACGCCATTACATATAGGTTAGCTTTCCTTTAAATAAATAAAAAAAATAAAAAAAAAGAAAATTTCTGCACCTTTGAACTCTAAGTCAGGATTTATCAAAATTGTCAAATTAAGTATTTTTCTTGAAATTGGTACCGAAAGGGCGTTAGGGAATTTAGCGTAACCAAGTCTCCGAATCCATAATTTTTGG